TTTAATATCATGTATCCCAGGTTATACTTAAGTATAAAAGATTATAGACGTAAGTTAGAAGTTAAGAGATAGAGAATGGAGTGGAGCTTGTCAAGTTCCTTATTCATTTTATTGATGTGATTCGTATTTGCTTGCTACGGTTGTATGATGCTTAATAGTAACACCCAAAGTTTTAATTGTAAATGTTTTTTTTGGACCGGTTTTATTAAATGTGGGTTAATACTTGAATGTTTTTATAACCATATTTTTTTTAAAGTGTGAAAATATTTATGGTGTTACACTGCAACCTATGTTCGTGATGATGATTCCGAATGAGAAGTTCTTACTATTGTTTTCGAGGTATTAATGATAATTGGGTTTTTAATTCAGCTTGCACTTATCACATATGGTCACATGATTATTGGTTTACTATTTTTTAACCAATTCATAATGTCGAGTCGGTTCATAGTTTTAATGGATCCCGATGCAAAATTGAAAGTGTAAGCACTATCTGTTTCGAGATGTTTTATGGCACGATTCAAACTTTAACATATGTTCGATATATCCCTACAATTAAGAGAAAATTCATCCCCTTTAGTGTCTTTGACGACAAGGGTTACAAATTTCAGGTGGAGATGGTACTTTGAAGATCACAAAAGGTTCATGAATTGTGATTAAAGTTGGTTTAAGAAAGACTAATGGTCTTTACCATTATAGGTTTTGTTGACGAGAGCAAATTATAAAATATAATTGTTGTAGATAATATCAAGTTCCTTTAGAATAGCCTGTACCCTTGGTGAGTTTGTTACTCTCTTTCATGTATAAATGTAATGCATCTGTGATTGATATGATATAGAAAAAACGGGAGAGTCTTTCCCAGAAATCTCAACTCTTAATTTCTGTATGGTATCAGAGCATACCAATCACAGCTAAAAGGAAAAATCGCAAACCCATTGATCAATGGGAATTGAAGAAGGATCAAGCGGAGTTTCACACCCCTCATCTATCATCGTACAGAACGTACAAGATGCTCCGTTTCCCACCGGAGTTATTCTGGATGATACGAATTACCCTTTATGGTCCCAACTTATGGAGATGCGAATTGGTGCAAGAAACAAATCCGGATTTATCACCGGTAAATCCCAGAAACCCTCAACAGATGCGAAACTTATCGAAACCTGGCTGATCGACAACAACCGGGTCAAAAGTTGGCTTATCGACTCAATGAGTCCAACCCTAATGCGCCGCTTCGTACGTATTCAAACGGCTGCAGAAATATGGGATGCAGTAGGAAAAACATTCTATGATGGAACAGATGAAACACAACTCTTCGAATTAAATCGGAAATCATTCACCACTAGACAGAATGACCGATCGCTACCCACATACTACAACGAACTTGTAAGTATCTTTCAAGAGATTGATACTCGTTTAACAACACAGGAAGAAACCGTAGAGGACACTGTTGCTCTTAACAAAACTATGTCTCGATTCCGTGTCCACATCTTCTTGGCTGGTCTAGATGCTGAATTTAACCAAGCTAGGAGTGAAATCCTGAGAAAGGATCCACCCCTAAGTTTGGAATCAAGCTATGCTTACATCCGTAAGGACCAAAACCAGAGACAGACTATGGAAGAACCAAAACCCGAGTCAGATAGCATGGTACATATGGTCTCTCGAAATGTTCATCAGAAAGGGAAGAACTCAAACGGTAAGAAAAACACATTCACATGTGCCCATTGTAGGGAAGAAGGACATTCAAAGCTGAGGTGTTATGAAATCATTGGCTACCCTGAATGGTGGGACTTCTCAAAAAGGCCTAGGAAGAAACTTGGTCAAGCCACAATAGCAACCTCTGGACAAACTCAAGAAGCGTCCAAAGAAGCATCCATTCCCTTGGCAGCCCATACCACCACTGCCAGCTCTGGTATGTTACATCAAAACCAAACAAAAAATAATATTTGGTTAATTGACACAGGTGCAACCGACCATATGACAAACAAACCGAAAAATTTAACAAGATCATATTCTCAAAAACAAAGTGTCATCCAAACCGCGAATGGAGAACTAGAA